CCCGTCAGGTGGGCAAAGGATAAGCACAGTGGTGATGCTCAGGGCTGACAAGCGGATGAGGAAATGGCACCCTGGCCCCTGGTGGGCAGAGCATCCACGGGTGAGCTTCTGTGGAAGGCCGGCTGCTGGCGTGTATCAGTCTCTCCGGTGTACGGGGGGGTGAACCAGGCCTCCTCTTCACCAGTCTTCAGTCAGCGAGGGTTTGTGGCTGTGTGCTTTAGAGTGGCAGGAAGTGCAAAGCGGCCCGTGACTCCTCAGCAGTAGGGGAAAGTCAGCCTATCATGGGCACCACCAAAGGGACAGCATACCTCAGCACACTAGGGGATAGGAGAAAACATACAGACGTGCAGGGATGTGCTGGATGTGCTGTCCATGGCGAAATCATTCTCTGCCCCGAGAGATGTGCGGGAAAGAGCTGTGCCTCTGTGGTCCTTCACGGGGTGGTCACGTCGAAGCTCCACAGCCCCAGGTGCTTAAGCAACAATCACCTGTCATCTCACAGTTGCGGACGCCGGGGGTCAGAGATCCAGGTGTCTGGCCGAGTTTGCCTCTACTGAGGACTGAGAGAGAATCGGCCCATCCCTCAGCCCGCTTCTGGTGGTTTTCAGGCAGGCTTTGGCATCCCGTGGCCTATAGATCTCAGCCTTCGTCTTCACAAGGGATTCTCCTGCATGCAAGTCTGTCTGTGAATCCCCCCTTTAGATGAGGACACCGGCCATTAGAGGGGGGAAAGGGGTCTCATTTTAACCAGATTAACTCTCCAAAGCCCTTTTCTTTACGGATACGGTCCTTGGGTGAGCGAGAGGGGTGGGGTCCAGAGCCCAGGGGAAGGCGGCCCAGGTGGAGAAAGGGAGAGGATGCAGAGGCCCTGGGCACAGGGACTGGCAGGGCAGTGGGTTGGGAAGGGAGTGAGCCCCAGGCAGCTTTCATCCTCCGGGCCTTGTCTTTGAGGGTGGGTGTGTTCTCATAAACACAAGGACATAATAGCTGAGTGAGGTTTCTGTCCTTCAAAGACAGGAGGGGAGAGACAGACCAGAGTGGGTGCTCAGGCCTGGAGGGCAGAGCCAAGGCTCAGGCCTCATGAGGATGATGATGGGTAGCCACCGGCTGTGACTGTCCTGTGAGGTGCAGGTACTCACAGCCCTGTGGAGACTGAAGCCCCTCCAGATACTATGGCCTGGCTGGGTGTTTGGCCCAGGTTTCTGCTCCTGCCGCAGCACAGCTCTGTCCCTTAACGAGGAGGAAGGACCTCCTTCCCCAGGTACAAGGAAGGGAGACAAGGGCAGGGGGTGATGCAGTCGGGCCCCCGTGATCGTGGGCCATCTATCCATCCCTCGGTGCCACCTTCTCAACTGCAGGATGGAGTGACAGGGGTGCTGCCCGTATACACTCATTTGAGGATTGAATTCCAGGCTCTGTGGATCATGCCCATCCCATGTCCTGGCATGGGGATGGTGAGTGAGTACTGGTGCCAGCTGTTCCTGATCCCCTTGCTCATTTCTCTAGTCTCGGGGTGGGAGGGCAGGCAGAGGTGTCTACTGACAGTGGATGGCAGCGGTGCAGCCAAGGGATGGAGGAGGGTGGCACCCAAAGGGAAGGGCAGGAGATACCTGGAAGGATTATCAAAGCTCATACAGCATCCTCAGGGCCCAGCTAAGGTTGGATTCTAAGGATTTGCTATCAACAGCCCTGGGAGAGGGGCCAGGGTGCTCGGGGACTTGCAGCTCCTTGGGGGTGGCAGGGCCAAGGAGCTGATAGAGCTGAGGTGGGTGAGGGTGGGCAGAAGTACCTAAGCCCAGGATGGTCTGTGCTGGGAGAGGACTAGAGCCGCCCCACCCCGTGTGAAGCCAAAAGGCCCTCCCTCCCTGCTCCGTGCTCCCCTGGCCTTAGTGACCTCCTTTGTAGAACTGACCACACTCCACGCTGACTGCCTTTCTCAGCTGCCCTCAGCCTTCTTCCTTGGGCTCCCAAAAACTCCATCTGAGGAACCAGGCATCCCCATTGCCACCCCTTTCCACTGGGCCTGGTAGCTGACTGCCTGGTGATAGAAAGAAGGAGCCAACACTCTGCTCTGCCACCAACCTGTCAGAGGTGTTCCAGGGCCCCCAGGGGACGTTGGAGAGAGGTCAGCCCACAGGCCAAGAGCTTGGAGAGCCGGTGCATGATGCTTATTGACATTCATGCTTCCACAGGCCACGTGATGCCTACAGGTCTCTGGGAGATGAAGTTTTGCTGCCTCTCCTTCCAGCAAGCAGCCTTACGTAGGCGTGGTCTTAAATGGGATCAAGACTCTGTAGACTTGTTGGTGTCCCTTGCTGAGTAGCCACCGGCACTGTACCATCGCCATCCACATTGCTCACAGGGACTGGGAAGACAGAGTCGGCAGGGGGCTGCTGCTGGAGAGGCTGGGGTGGATCCCCGTGCAGACTCAGCCCTGCTTCCAGAAGAGGAGAAGTATGGCCTTGGAGTGACAGCTGGCAATTGCCGACACCCAAGCACTGCTCAGACACTTCAGAGGGTACCCCCAGGACCTTGCTCAGGAGTTCTGGGCTTGTTTTCTTTTGAACCTGTTGAGGTGGGGCTATGGTTTCTGTAAGCAGCACACCTTCAAGGGGGCAGCATGGGGCCTGGGCTGGGGTTCCGTGGGCTGAGTTTTCAAGACCTTGGGTGAAATGAACCCTTCTGTGCACTCAGGGTTTCAGTTCCCATAGGTGACCTGAGGGGCAAGGACAGGTTCAAGTGTACACGTGTGTGTATGTGAGACAGACCAGGAGAGGATGCACCACACACAGAGAGGGTCGGGGGTCCTCCAGATTCAGACTGTCTCTCTGACCTCAAACACCTGCCCCATGCCCACTGCCCATGGCTTCCTGAGCAGGTTGCCTCAGCCCTCAGTGGTTGAGGTCCTGCATCAGCTCCTTTCACCTGGTAGAGTGCTGGGGACCTGATTGCCTGTGAGTCCCCACAGCAGCTGGGGCCCTGCGGCCCTGTACGTGCTGCCCTGGGCTGTCTGGCTGGGACCCGCCCAATACTGGGTGGAGCTGTTGAGGACGAGGCCCTGTCCTCTTCATTTCTGTCTCACCCCTGGCCTCACGCAGAATTCCCTGAACGGAGTTAGACACATTGGAAGTGCGCTGTCAGAGGGACCGACCCAGCTCAATCCTTGTGGGTTTGGTGAAATCAGTGTAGTCTCTAGTGGTGGTAACTTTGCTTAACCATTTTCTCTCTCAGGCAGTACTTGGTTTATAGAAGGAAAAACATCTGTGCTTCTCTGTTGGGGCACCAGGCCCGTGGACATTGGGGAAAATATGCAGTGCCCGAAATCTTACCTCTTCATGAGGTTGTGGAGCTACAAAATAAAGCTGTACTGAGCCCAACAGGTGTGGAACATGGATTGAGCATCATCCCATGCACCTAAAGGTCACAGGTTCGATTCCTGTTCAGGGTACATGCCAGGGCTGTGGGCTCAATCCCCAGTGGGAGGTGTGCATGAGGCAGCCAGTCAGTGTTTCTCTCCGATTGATATTTCTATCTCTCTTTCCTTCTCCTTTCGCCTCTCTCTAAAATCAATAACAACATAAAAGAAAAACCAAAGCTCTACTGACCAACTTGAATCAGAAGTACCTGACTGCACGTTCAAACCCCAGGTGGTTACTGGAGCCCATACCCAGGAAAGGGGGTAAGGTATCTTCCAGGAGCACTGGATCCCCTTGGGGCAGAGGACTCCTCACAGGAAAGTTACGGAGAAACCAGCTTGTCCATGACCATCAACTCGCCATCATGCCGGGAATGTATAAATCGGGTTCACTCAGAATGTGCACCATTGTGGGGAGCGTTACCCACCATCTGCTGTTCATGTAAACAGATTTCTGTGCTCAGGGGTAGGGGACTTTCCTCATAAGGGGCCTCCCTGAGCTCAGTGACAGTCTTAAGGACTCTGACCTTTAGGGAAAAGGTAAACCGTCAACTAAATGTCTTGGTGTTATCACTCATTTTGGTCCTGCTCACTCCTGGGTTGTACAAAGACATATACTTTAAGAGAACTGGGTAGTGTTCAGGGCTCTCTTACATGTTTCCCCCTCTTTGTTCTGGTCAAGCTCAGAGATAGCTTCAGGAGCATCCAGGGGACGTTGTGGGAGGGCTGGGAGTGGCCACTGAACCGTTGCCCAAGGGTGACCAGCCAGGGATGGCCTCATTCACCACGAAGGGGCATCACACTTTGCAACAAAGCACCTGTCTGTCCTGGCAAGTGAATCTTATCTGCCATATACGTGTCCCTTGGCTCATGGAGCCGTGCGTTAGACAAGTCACAGAGCTACTCCATGACCAAAGAAAGGATCTGCAATGGAGCTCAGATGGATATCTGCTGAGTAGCCTTTACTTTGTGGGCAATCTGTTATTTATGTGGGACTCTTGTAGCAGACACACTGGGGGTGTGAGCTCTGAGGATGATGTGCTTTCTCTCAGGCATTGACTGGAATGGCCCATCTTCTGAGCCAGACTTCCTTGGTTCTCACGGCTTAGCAGACGGGGTGGCCCCGGTTTTTGGTGGGCCTCTCTGGAAGGCCCCTGGAACATGGGCTCGAGATGCTCAGGAGCTGATCGGAAACTTCCTGGCATCATAGGGGGGCCCGTGAGGAAAACCCTCGTGTTTCAAGATGCATAACTAGTATAAGGTGATTCTCCCAAGGTCAGGAGCCAGGCAGTGCTGTCTGCTGACCAGCAGGCAAGGTTCAGAGGACCAGATCTTCTTGGGCTGGCCTCAGGACTCCCTAGCCAGATCCTTGTCTGAGCAAGTGAAAATGAAAGGACAATGGGGACAAAAGCATCTCAGGCCAGGATTTTTAGCCTCCTCTGGTCTGTCAGAAACAGAAGGACATGGACTCACATTGCTCATTGCACAGGTTATTTACTACCATGGAGTTTTGCTTTTATTTTTATTAAAACCAAAAATGGATTAGTGGTTACAGAGGGGGCATTGCTTTCTGTCACCTGTGAGTTTAGGGATCTGCATTGTCCTTGAACTGCTCACACAGTGCACACTTGTAATCTGAGGAGCCCTCCACCTCTTCCTCATCCTCTTCTGAGTCCTCGGGTGGGGCCATGACTGAAAGGCCAGCCATCAGGATGGAATAACAGGTGTTGTACAAAGACATCACAGAACTATGTAGTAGAGAATTTGGGGTGCTGGTGGGCAGATCCCCTGTGCCGTTGGTTTTGGCAGTAGCCGTGGGCACACACATTACATTCCCAGATGTGCCCTCCCCACTTGGACCACCTGGCTCACTTGGGCACTGGACTTTTGTGGAACTTCCCAAGGACCGCAGACACGAGAACTTGAATGACCGGATACCACTGGGTCCCCAAACATTCCGGGACATCTTCTCGGCCTTTTGATCAGCTTCTTTGGTGCCTCCCTTGTGGTGAATCCGTGGGGAGTGTCTTGTAGGGGCCAGCAACTTCTTTTTCTTTAGAGGGGCTGTGCTGCGCTCTCGACGAGCAAGAGTCATCTCGCTGCCTTTCATCTCAATGTTCTCGATGACCCAAGGCTTGTCTCTCTGGAAGTTGGAATTTCTGTAGGTCTGAAACAACATTAATCATTTTAGTCATTCTAGGAGAAATTATATCTACATGACATTAACTGGCCTCTCAGACTCTTTAGTCATCCCTGAAGGTTATCTCTAAAGGGCTTATAGTTCCCTCTGAAAATCTATCCTTTCTCATCTTTTGTTAAACACTATCTTATGTGGAAAAGAGTTATGTACCAAAATGAAACCCTTTCAGTATATCATTCTTCTTCGTCTACTAGGAAGAGAGGTGGGTAACAGAAAACGTGGGAAATGGGACACTTTCTACTTTACCATCATCTTGTTCCCTGCAGAGCGAACAGAAGAGTGGCCTGGATGTATTTTGCTGAATCCATAGAGGTTCAGTAGGCGGATGAAACTCTTCAGGCTGTCTGAGTCAAAGATTTTGTCCTCACCCCTCCGGCAAAGAACCTCCCTCTGGAAAAGGTTTTCTTCGATGTTCACAGTGTCTCCATCGTCACTCCAGCACACAGACCTGAAGGTGTCGTCCTCCACGATCCTCCAAAGCTTTCTTGGGAAGGACAACCCAAGAGGAATGTTGTTTCTTTCCATATTGGCGGCACCTTGGCTTGGGTCCGTTGCTTGTGGGTTGTCCTCGGGACTTGGGTCATGTCTCCTAGCAGAGTCCCCCTGCTCCTCCAACGCCTCCCTCGGGTCCACATGTGGATCTGGATATACTTCCTGTTGGACCATTATTGAGGGCTCTCTATCCTCTGATGGGGCCATCTTGGCTTCCTGCATCTCATCGGTACCCTGACTAGCCATGGAGAGGCTCTTCATCAAACAGCATTGGCTACCCGGGATCCTATCACTGAACTCCGGGGTCAGAAATGCCTTTGGTCCCAGCAGGGATGCCCAATATATACAGTCCTCAAAATTCTAGAGTGACAGTCGTGGGGCAACCAGCTGCTTAAGTCACAGTGTTCTTTATTGGTCATGTGATGTCATAAAGGTGGCTCACTGCTGGTCTGGAGAGTGGGCCCTGGTCAGGTGTGTGGGACTGGATGTGTGTAGTGTCCCCAGCCTCTCTCTTTCATAAAGTACAGAAAAATAAGATTCAGGTGACCAGAAAGGGCCAGGCACACTGTTTATTGTTTCTAGGCACTGCAAAGGTTGAGAACTCAAGATCCTATCTCCACTCGTGCCCCTTCAGGTGGTGGAGGCTGGTTGATGGCCTCTCTGATTGCTCAAGGGTGAGGCCCTGGTTAGTCTGAGCTTGGCTACCACTAAGACTGCCTGAGTCAGATGGGACTCTGAGGTCTGTACCTCTCACAAGATGGTGGTTGGCCCAGTCTCAGTTAGTAATCCCCCTCTCCAAACCCCCAACCAGCTTCCTGCTTTGGTCCTTCCAGCTGCTCCTGCTGATTGGCGGGTCCTACTCTGATGGATCCAAAGTCAGAATCCTGTTTTCTTACCCCTGGGTCAAGTTGTCGCTACTGTAGGGTTGTGCTCCAGCACAGGGGGGAGCACTCCTCTTGTTCCTCAACCTCAGTGCTACCTTAAGCACCTCAGACACGCTGTTGCCCATGGAGTTGATGTGCAAGTGGACAGCCACACCCTCTGCTCTGCTGAGGACCCCCTCTTGAGCTCTGATGGCCCCAAAATTTCACCCCTTTCAGATCACAACAGAATTGGCTTTAGTTTCAATTTCTTCCCCATAGGAACTCTTCTCATTACCCAAGGTGGGTCCACTCTGGAACCCCTACATTTGCCTTCTCAAACCACCCTCCCCGGAACCTCAGAATCAGCCTCCTTGAAGTCCCCTCTACACCCCATTTTCTTTCTTCAGTGAGGTGGGTGAACTTTGCTTTCTCAGATTTCTGCATCCCACTTCAAAAAAAAAAAATGGATCTCCTTTGGTACTTCCTCTTTCATTGTTGATTTGGGGGTTACATATGAATTCACCTCTGTGGAAACAAAGAATTCCACTGACTCACTTTCATGCCAGCCCTGTTCTCCTTGCCAGAAGCCCAGAACAACCCCACCTGTGTGTCCCTCTCTTGCCATTGCCTTGAAGATAGGTACATTGAATCATTTTGTTTTCTCTTGGGTTAGATCCTTTAGAAAGTCTCTACTTTACACAGACTCCCTACCAAGGTAAATTACGACTTGTTCAGCTCACCGTGGCTGGAGGAAGGTCATATTAAGATAATCCAAAGTATGTACTTGAATGTAGATGAGAGTCTGGGTGTGTGATGGGACAAAAGCCAAACTCAAGTCATCTTCACTTAGAGAGGAGAGGATACAGCAGTGGTTTTGGTGATCCATGATCTCTAGCAGTTGTGGACAACTTTGGTGTTAATGCTCACCCTGTATTGGGAGATAGAGTGGTACCATGGAAAGGAACCACCTGCACGGGTCCTAGGTCCTTGTCCAAGTTCTGTTGCTAAATGGGGTCCTTTGTCCTCTCTGAGTGTTAATCCTTTTTTCCTGAAAGGGGAGTGCAAAGGCATTTGGGAAGAGAAACCCTCAAGGTGCCCCTCAGCCTAAGGTCTGCATCCTTAATGGACCCCGGGTCCAGATTGGGGCTCAGGCCATGGTCTCTCTGCTTCTAAACAGAATGCTCTGCTTCCAAAGCATTCATTCAAGAAGTCATTTTGTTCTGGGAGACATGCCCTAGAGGCTAAGAATGGAAGGGAAGTCCATTGGTGGCTTTCCCACGGGCACTCCTAGTGTCTCTGATTAAACAGCCAGCTCCCTTCAGTTGCCTTCCAAAGTGTTGTTTCTTAAATGAATTCTTTAAAGGCTGAAAAGGAGAGTTCCTTGTGGCCTTTGCCAGCTCATGACTCTGCTGATTACTTATTCGAAGGGGTTTGCCCATTTTACGGGAGAAAATTTGGAGAGAAGTTTCTGGAAACCATATTCTGGCAATTAGTGGAGAACAGGGGTTTACTTGGCATTATTTAGGCACCCTTGCATCCCACGTCTGATGTAGGACCATTAGCTAATGTTCTTTGATGCAAATGCCACCAGATTTCCACTGTGGTGAAGAATCTAAGACAACAGGCTCATCTTGTCCTTCAGAGAGGAAATATTGATTTTGACTGTGAACTTTAGTGGAGGTGAAGAAAGGCATTGTGGAAATGGCCTCCCTCAGCTAAGCCTGTTGAGTCCCAGATGTTCAACCCCGGGTCCCGCGTCTGCCAATCAGACAGACTTTATTAGGCACCATGCTCAGGACCTTTGGAGAGAAGTGATTGGTTTGGCCTTCACAGCTCCAAAGGCCCCACAGATGACCCCTGTGTGTTGCCTCCTTAAGAGCAGAGCCCCAGAGTTAGGTGACTCCAGGGAAGCACAGCTGACTGGGCTACCAGGACAGCCACCCCCTAGGGACAGTGATTTCAGTCTTGACCTGGTGGTGGCTTTGGCACAGCCTTGCTGCCATAAAGTGCTAAGCTCTGGGCTATGGGGCCCTTGGGGAGAGCCTGGCTTCTGGGAGTAGATAAGATAGAGCCTTGCAGTTCTGAGACCCCCAAGCCACTCAGCTGAGCTGCTGAGCAACCTCACTTAGATATGTGAGCCTTTTCTCTGATGCCACTCTTCCAGGTGCTCCTTTCCATCCTCCCTTAGTCCAATTGGGCTGCTATAAAAAACAAACAAACAAAAACACCACAGACTGAGTAGTTTATCAACAACAGAAATGTGTTTCCCATCGTTCTGGAGGCTGGAAGTCCAGGTATAATGTCCCAGCATGCTGCAATGAGGGCCTTCCTTGTTGTGTCCTCACCTGGTGGAAGGGGCGGGATCTCTCTTGAGTCTCTTTATAAGGTGCTGGTCTCATCTCTGAGGGCTCAGCTCTCAAGACTTAAGCACCTCCTGAAGGCCCAACATCCTCATGTCACCATCTTTGGGGCTTAGGGTTTCAACGTCACCCTTTTAGGGGGAATCTCAAACATCCAGACCACAGTACTCCCTTCTGGACAGTGTCCTCCTGATCCAAAAACCCATGGACAGTCTCTTTCTGTGAGGGACTCGTCTCTATCTTAGCCTAGTTCAGGCCCCATTCAGTAAAGCTCCTTGGGTATTGCAGCCTTTCCTGGTCATATCTTCTTCCCGGATCAGCCCTCAATTACAGGTGCAGCCCAAGGTGGTGACCAGGACATAGGAGTGGTCGATGGGGTCCACTTTCTTCAAATCAATACCGAAGACCAGCTGCATGCACTCAGAGGCTGCACTGAAGATCACATTGAAGTGATCCTGGTACTCTTTGTTGACCCTACTCAGCATTTCTGCCTTTGTGGTCGGTTCCCTGGCATGATACTTCAGAAGCAGGATGGTGAGCAATGGGCACAGGTTTCCCAACACTGGCCTGCTGGTCACACTTCTGTGGGTGATCGCCATGGAGGGCGATTGTGCCCCTGAGAAGGTAGTCTGGGAAGTGCTGGATGTCACAGAAATGTATGATGAAAAAAACCATTGCATCTATGGGGAGCCCAGGGAGCTCATCACTAAAGTTTGGGTTCAGGAATAGTACCTGGTATACCGCCAGGTGCCCAACATCAATCCTGCATGCTACGAGTTCTTGTGGGGTTCGAGGGCTCACGCAGAGACCACCGAGTTGAAGGCCCTCAAGTTTTTGGTCATTGTTAATGATAGGGATCCCAGTTCCATCCCATCCCTGCCTGAAGGGCCTGAGTGCAATGAGGAACACTGGGCCTGAGCCAGAGTTGCATTCAGGCAGATCTTGGCCCACATTCATCAGCTTCACTTGCTGGGCATGAATTGAGGTCTGTTTTCCATTCTGTGTTTGAGGAGAAAGTAGACAGCATTCTATGTAGTGAGGCACAAGGTATGTGGGGAGAATAAGGGCTGTTGCGTCTTTGGGCTCTTCTTCTATTTATTAATTAATTAATTTATTTATTATTTATTTATTTATTTATTTATTTATTTATTTATTTATTTGTTACAGAGGTTTCTCCTTTTTTCCCCATTGCCATCCTGCTCCTACTCCCTCCCAGCCCTGTCCCCAGCTTAGTTGTCCATGTTCATTGGTTATGCATACATGCATATAAGTTCTGTGGTTTATCTCTCCCACAACACCCCCTCTTCTGGGGATTGTCAGTCTGTACCCAACTTCCACGTCTCTGGGACTACCCTGTTGGCAGACTGTTATGTTCATTATGTTCCACAAATTAGTGAGAATAAATGATATTTGTTATTCTCTGCTTGGCTTGTTTCGCTTAGGATAATAATTTCAAGGTCCTTCCATGTCGTCTCAAAAGATAAGAGATCTTTCTTCCTTACAGCTATATAGTATTCCATTGTGTATATGTACAACAAATTTTTTATCCATTCGTCTACTGATGGACACTTGGGCTGTTTCCAATCTCATCTATTGTAAATAGTGCTGCTATGAACATGGGGGTACATATATACTTTCTGATTGGTGTTTCAGGCTTCTTAGGGTATATTCCTAGAAGTGGGATCACTGAGTCAAATACCAATTCAATTTGTAATTTTCTGAGTTAACACCATAGTGTATGCCATAGTGGCTGCACCAGTCTGCATTCCCACCAGCAGTGTACTAGAGGCCGCTTTTCTCCACACCCTTGCCAACACTTGTTGTTTGATGATTTGTTTATGGCGGCCTTTCTGACAGGTGTAAAGACACACCTCATTGTTGTTTTAATTTGCATCTCTCTGCTGATTAGTGATGTTGAGTATTTCTTCATATGCCTCTTGGCCATTTGCACGTCCTGTTTGGAGAGGTTTCTATTTAGTTCCTCTGCCCATTATTAATT